TAGCAATTAAGTGTAAATCAGCATCTCTAGCAAAATACTTCCTGCATCATCTCTTCGGAAGAACAAACCATCCTTTCAGCTTGCTTTCACTAGTTGGGCCATTAAAACACTGTCAACATCGATATCATGTTGTCAAAATACAATTCACTGCGATGTTTAATGCATAATCGCTACAACTCCACAAGACAATGGATCAGCCCAGCTTCATGTTCGTAACCAAGATGTGCAAGATGATCCGCATCATGTGAATGTATAACTGTGAACAATGTCTTGTGCGACGGCGAAAAACACACCGAAAGCACCAAAATAGCTGACATCGTGTCGCTGGACAAAGGTCTCGGTGGTCAATCGTGATGCAATGCACATCGACTGGACATCGAGAATCGTAGGTCGACGGCACACTGGCAGGCTTCGACGCAACGATGCGGTGCTGGTGGAAATAGTGGGGCCATAGTGAGGCCCCTCATGCTGCAGCATTGTCGACGAGAACCGTGAATCGATCTCTCTCATGCACAGTCCTCGTTGACAACACTGCAGCAATTGTGTGATGAACTAGTTCACGTCGTAGACTGGTTCGGGTTGTGTGCGTTGCCCCTGACCAGCATGCTTCCAGTCCGGATCTGCAGCTCGGAACCAGGAAAGAGCAATCGCGGGGACTGATTTTCTCGACATGCGACGATCATGTGGTGAAGTTTGCTTTTATGATGACGGGGACGAGCGGGGGGACATCGCGGCGGTTACGTGATTCGGCGTCCTGTTGTACCTACACCGCGACACGCTCCTGCGCCAGTGAGGGTGTGGGTTTCGCGTCATGAATGCCTTGATTCTCGTCGGCTTGCAGTGGTCAGCAGTTTGGGGTACAGAATGCAATTCTGCTGTGTGTTTGCCGCAGGCAATACCCAGCACCCTCCTCTTTGTGAGGGATAGGGAGCTATTTCGGGCTGGTTATGCCGCCACCAATTCTTTCCTTTTCATAATACAATTTAGTTTTTTATTATTAATATCTGATATCATTAATAATGTCAGTTAATACAAATATCATTCTGATATTTGTGAACCCCTCCCGAAGCACGAAGGAAGGGCCTTCAGATGAGCAAAATGTGGACAGAACACAAGAAAACTAATCGCATTTAAGACGAGGGTGAAGAACATTCCCGGGGTATGTTTGCGAGGGAAAGAGGAAATATCACTCTTAAGATTCTAGAATTTCGGAATCAAAACGGATGAGTTGACGATGTCTCTGTCACGTGCCGCCAATTCACGGAGTCCACATGTCCGGATAGATGATCTTCCTGTGGCACTTCCCCGGGTTAAATAAAGAAGTAATCAAAGATCTGGTGGACAGCGTGGAAGTGGAACTCAATGAGTCATGACCCGTTTCTGCGAATAAAAAATGAAGTGAGCACAGTGAAAAAACAGATGTCATGAGAGGCCACTCCCTGTGCCCACTACGATGAAAACGGCATTTTCAGATCTCACTGCAGCTGCATCGGAAAGTCAGCACAGTTCGAAGTTCATGAGTTTTATTTTATTGTTCTTTTGGCCTTATTTGTGCCACTAAGTCACCCTCATGGACTCTTCTTTCTCAGATGTTCTCTTTCAGAATCCACTGGCTGAATGACGTCGGCACAAGCGCAACTATCAATTTTTTCTCTTCCTGGATTCAGGTTTTCGGTATCCAGGTGGTGGAGTCCTCCACATTATGAGAAATAAAGTAGCAAACAGAGAGGACCTTCTATAGGCAGCGGCACATCTGTCAAAGTAGGGTCATGAATCTAGACAATTCTCTACACAGGCCCCATTGAGATCCCAAACCTGGCCCGCTCACTGTGGGAGCCAGCCAGCCAGCCAGCCAATTCGCCCATAAGCTCTCCATGTCACGATGGCTGGAATCACGACGCTTTCACGCACGCATGCCGGCACGACTGCAACGGAACATTTGGGAGCCAGTTTTGATTGTATACAACGACAGTGAAAGGAAGGGCAGTGTGTGATAGTAACGGCAGCCAGCAACTAGGTGGGTATATCCACACCATCAGAGTGGCTTTATGTGTAGACTTCGTGAGAGTCTTGCTTTGTGGGTATGTGTGGGTGAGTGAGTATATGTGTGTGCGGCCTCCCTTCTCCGCCCAGTGGGCCCAACTTCATTGAAGTCCAAGTAAGTTTGCTGCAATGGGTGTGTCTGTATTCTCGGCTTAACTCCCACTCACACTCTCTCTCTCTCTCGCTTCGTTTCACAATAATGTAACTTGCTGACTTTGAGGCTTGTTTTTAGAAAGAGTTTCCTGTATTTGGTAAGGCCAATGCAAATACACTTTATATTTGTGGGAATCAGGCAAAAATGATGGTGTTGAGGAGAGCTCCTCAGAAAATTAATGTAGGTTGATAAGGAAATAATGAATAAATCTGCAAATGATTTCTCCAATAGAGAAAGATCTAGTTTTGTTGGAGAATTGGTTTGAGAATTGGTTTCATGAGTGATTGATTTTGAAGTTGGAACAAGGTATGTGGCAACATTGCATAGGCCATTTGTTGCTCATGTCTACTACTACCACTACCTTCTTCTAAAACTTTTGGAAGGTTTTTCTTTAAATTCCATTTATTTTCATTGATATGTTATATTATTTTTTATTGGATCTTGTATTAGCAGTATGTCATTGGTCTCTTATTTTTTTAAAGAAGTTTTTACCCATACGTTTGCCTTATTGGATATCTTCTATTAAATAAATATAATTATAGTAGAAAAAAGCATATTCACTAGTAAATAATATAAAATTACAAAAGCACAATTAAAATTTTAATTGAAAAAAATATTTTAAGATTAACTATATATATTTTTATTTAATTTAAAATTATTCATGCCTTTGTGTTTGGTGTAATGTCCTTTATAATATAATATACATGCTTATTTAAGATATATAAGGGCTATTATACCTACAAACCCACTTTCAACAATTGTAATATAAAGGTCTTAAGAAGGTCCCATTTAGAAAAAGAAAGTTGAAATAGTATAAATCATAAATAGTATAAAATGAGAGGAGAGTCCATGATATAGACAAACCATTTTATAATCATGATTCTAAATAAGGAAAATCAAATATTAAATATAATAAATTTGATAAATATTGAAATAAAAATAGAAATAGTGATATAAATAATGTAAATATGGTTTTCAGAAACCTGATTTTCAGTACTGATTTAGCTTTTTCATACTCTATGTATGTATGTATGTATGTATGTATATTTTATAAGTATTCAACATCTAAACAAAGGAACATAAGTATGTAATAAAATTCCAATTTTTATTGAGTTTTTTACAAAGAAATTAGAACACGAAATCATACTAAAGAGGTTTAACTAGCAACAATTCAAAAATCAACATAAACATGAGTGTAAATCGATTGTAAATTTTCATGTTCAACATTCTGTACATCAAACAGTTATTATATTAATTACATAATAAACTAATTTTCAAGTAATTGTCTTCAACCTCCGCAAAATTTGAACACAGAAATTATAATTTCTCAAAATGCAATATAAATTAACTACTTTTTATTTTATTTATTTTTGTTTTTTTAAAGATCAATAAACTTGTGTTGTGAGTAATAATCTTATTAAGTTGCTCTTTAAAAAACCATGGTGCAGAAAAAAATATTAGAGTGTTTTAAGATCACTGTTTTGGAAATTAAACCTATTTTGATGCATAATAATAATAATAATAATAAAAGATAAAAAATGTATAATTTCTGCATATTCTATCACAAAAAAATTGTGTGTTTCTACAACTTTCCATAGAACCTTTACAGACAAAGAAAAGTCTCCAAAATCTATTGGAACTTTCTAGAAACATTTAAAACCTTTCATTGACTTTGAAAATATTTGAACACCTTCCACATATTTTGGTGGTTTGAATGGACTTTTTATAATTTCAAACCTATCATCTTCCAGGAGTTAAAAATTTGTTTAAGAAAACTAATATTTACTTTATGCTTTGAATATGTCTATATTTCAAGTAAGTATAAATTATGAATTATTCGTTTAATTGCATATTTAATTTATGTATTATGAAAGATCAAAGAGACCGTATGTTATAAATAATTATAAATTAAAGCAGTGAATTTAATGAAAATTCTCAGAATCATATAAAAAATAAAAATAAAATAAAATACATGGGTATTTATGTATGAATCATTACATATTGGAATCATTTTTTATATTTTTTTCCAAAAAAACATCAAAAAGTAAAACTTTTAAAAAACTTAAAATTATAATAAAAATTAAATAATTATAATTTTATTTTTGAATAGAAATAATCTTATATTAGTATATAATATAATTTTATTATGACATCATTAGTGTAAAACATGTGTTCCTCCACCATTCAAAACACCACACAACTTACTAAAAAAAAAATCTCAAAAATACTTAAAAGTAAAATTGGGAGGATTGAGATGCATGCTTTAAAAGTTCATCTACGAGGTAAAGACGCCTACCGGTTCTACCTCGGAGGTAATTAAGACACTTTTCACTCGAGCGGCGATCAGATTCGTTTCCACCTGCCCCCGAGGCTGCCCGTTGGTAGCCGCCGCATCACGGCACGGCACGGCACGGCGCGCCGTCGCCACGGGACGCAGCAAGGAGCGCGAGCGCGATCGCGGCGCCATGGGATCCCTCCGCCCGCATCCCAGTTCGCGTCATCCTTCTGCTGTTCTCTGCGCATCGTATTAAAAAAACCCACAATTTATCAAGCGGTGGTGGTTTTCGTTGCGTCACAAGCCTGCTATCGCGTTGATTGGCAGCAAGGTGGGAAGGTCACAAGGTCAAAGTCAAGGTCTCGCAGGAGAAGGAGGAGGCGGAGAAGCGGGAAACTAACCGTGAGGGTGGAGGAGGAGGAGGGGTCGGAGGAAGTTTTAATTTGTCTCTTCCTCCTGTGGGCTCCATTTACTTCGTTGCCGAAAGTCGTGGGAAATTGCGCATTGGGTTGGTTCCTTGCCCCTCTTGCGCCACCGTGTGATTGACGCTTGAAATGGAGCGACGCCGCTAGACCCAGGGTTTTTCGTTTGTCTCGTCTGGATCGTTGCCCTGGGAGTTGGCATTAGCACTCTGCGCTCGAGTTTGTTGTGTTGTTTTTGCTTGTGGGTGGAGTTGGTCGCATTTGTGTCATTGATTTTTGTCTTATTTTGGAGGATTTCTTGGCGTGGCTGCGAGGAAAAATAGACCGATTGCACGAGTTGTTCGGATGACAGGATTTTTGGTGGTGTCTCTCGTTTGGTTCAGCGGGCGCGGGTGGTCGCCTTGGGTTTTCTGAGATCTGGTGTTCCTCTCTGTTGTGGGTCGGGGTTTCTGGGCGGTGAAGTGTTTCTGGAATTTGGAATTCGAATTCGTGGTGGCGGGAGCGCAGCTGACGTTTGCCGGGGTTTCTGGTGGACAATTTTTACAGAGCAGGTAGGCGCGATGTTGACCTTAGGAAAGGGCTTTCGTAATTTCAAATAATTGCTTCTCTGAATCCCAGTTCTTTCCTCGAATCGTGCAATGTAAGTCGAAGTCGAAATGGTTAAGACCAGATTGACTTGGCTTGGAGAGTTTGGCTGCGGATGGTATTTTATTCTTGAAAAATATTTCGTTATCTGCATGTATTGTTGTCGTCGTTTCTGTCTATTATGCTTTCCTGTTTGGATAAGCCACGGCGTTGATTAGAAGAATCCTCTACTGATGTAGAAAACTACATGCCTACAAAATCATCGTACACCTGAACAATTCGAAATTATCGTCCTCCGTCTATTTTTACTTGTAAATGTGTTGGATGCCTTTTTCTGTCTCTTGTGACGATGAGTTCATTATCTGTTTTGCTCAGTATCTAAAATTAGCTCTTGTAATTCTCGAAAAGGTTATCTTTTCCTTTCACAAATTTCAGAATTCCTCCGTTTTCTATTCACAGGCTCTTGAACTTTCCCAATTTTTTATTTTGACAAATTTTACTACCTTTCCGTTTTCCTTCCAAATATGGTATCGTGTGTTCAGTTATCATAGGTTCAGAACTCCATTTTTCCATTCCCAAGCTTTGTTTCGTTGCCACATCGCATTGGTCGCTCATTTCTTATGGCGTCAGGCGGAGGTTGCCATATACCTTAATTTATAGAGGGTTTTTAGCCGACTGTCTGAATTGGTTTTGATTTGATCGAGCTCATGAATTCATGCTAGGGTTTGAATTTTTTTTTCTCCTTGTGCAGATCCATTGATGGTTGCAAAGTTGAACATCTTACGAGTCGTCCTTCACTGTATTCCTCCATGAAGGCCCAGCATCAACAGCATATATTTATTCGCAACGTCGGATTTCACGAATGTTGGGTCCAACGTGATCAATGCGAGCAATAGCCTTGATCTCCTCCTCTCCTCACTCGTACTTTGTTGTTCTGCTTCTGCTCAACATTCTGAAGTTTTTTCTGCGTGCTAGGGCTTGAGAGCTCAGCCCAGCACCACCATGTCAAACAGAGTGTCTTGCAAGATGCAGAAGGCCCTCCATAAGCTCCAGAAGAGCATTTCAAGTTCCAGTCTGAGTTACCAGAGCATGCACCACCATAGTGATGTCAAATCTCCTCCGAAGATGGGAGGTTCTCTCAGGAATGGATGTGCCTTCGGAAGGTCTGGTCAGTTCGCAGTCAGTGATCTCAGTGATCGTGATTCTGACAGCGAGGACTGGGCTCCTGATGATGTGCCTGAAGGCTATCTTGTGGTGTATGTGGGCGAGGGGCGGCGTCGATTTGTCATAAAAGCGAAGTATTTGAGTCACACTGTTTTCAAAGCTTTGCTCAACAAGTCGGCGGAGGAGTTCGGGTACGAGCACAAGAGAGGATTGGAGATTGCATGTGAAGTGGACTTCTTCGAGCATCTGTTGTGCCTCGTCGAAACCAACAATCCTTCTTTCTTCAGCACGGAGATCGATGAGCTTGTTGGCGTTTACGCCTACTCTCACTGCATAGATGCTTAATGCTTGATTCAGTTCGGCTTTCAGAGTTGTGGCAATCTTTGAAAAGCTGTGACAAGTTTTGTATCTTATTTATCAAAGATAACGAAAAAAAAATTATATTTGTATTCAGCTTAGGTTAAACACTTGTTCTCTTTAGAACCTTCGGATTCAACCCACTTGGGTACGGGTTTGACTGTACATGGCGTGAAGTTCTCAAACGTTATCCTTTTTAACATTTTCTGTACATATTTGATTCTTGGACTTTCAATAGCACCTCAGGATTTATAGATTACGTCATGTTCTTATGCTTCGCATTGACAGTGGCAGTGACGCATTCTGCCCATTGGATGAAACCAATTCATAGGAACATACAGTGGCTCCTTAGAACGGTGATCTCAAGGTGATTTTCAAGAAGAGCTCACAGGAGTAGCGCATCTTCACCAAGTTCATTTCTACATCTTCCCCTTCATATGCTATGGGAGGTGTTCTCTCTAGTCTATGGGATCAATACACTTGCTAGATCATTGACTTCACCGATGACGATGGTCGTGTGGGAATAGTGTCCTTTTTCCACAACAAATCCTATCATTGATCTTTGCTCTTGCAACATTAATCCTAAACATTTATTTCTGATTACTGAATGCAAACCCTATTCAAGGTTCCGTCATCTTGCAACCTGTAAACAAAGTTGAGAAGTACATACGGTTAAGGAGGTTCCTGTGCATTGCCTTGTATCAATACTCTAATTTCCTTCGACAATTTCTAGATTAGCATGCACCACACTTAAAACCTGAATTGTAGACATCACTTCGGATTCGTCCTTGAAGTCAGTGATTGTTATCCTCTGCATAGTGGATGAAGGATGCATGGATCTCAGCAGGCCACGTAGTGGGACCACAATCATGTGCTTGTCCTGCTGTCAGTGACAAGCAAAAGAGCTTCTCAATACGCAGTACCTCTTTTCATCACAGTTTTCTCAACTGAGAGGAGCTTTGAAATGTCCGGGGTATACCCTGAAACATTATCCAAACTTGGACTCAAGCAACTTGTGGGGCTTCCGACCATGGACTTTGGGTTTGTGAGCATTCAACTGTATTATCGCTCCTCTAAAGACAAGCGACGAAGCTAGATTCTGCTTCGGTTACATTTATGTGCAAGCACTGTTTGCTAACAGCTGGGCTATAATTCCCTCGTTCTCCCGACACCTAACTGAATACCAGATATTGCCAGAGTATACCAAAGTGATGTAGAAGCGCCTGGGTCAGAGATTATTAGGGAAAAGAGGGACGGAGTCAGAGTTGAAGCATATGTTGGTCAGCTGACCCAGCTTCGAAAAATGAAGAATATGCGAAGAGAGTCAAAGAGTTTGCGAGTGGAAAGTTTGGTTGCCAATTCACAATGGGAACATATGAGAAACTGATACTCAACAATCATACGCAACATCTTTTGATTGAGAGTCCATGATAACCGACTTTATAAGAAATTGCAATCCTTGGGAAATTATTTTTCCCTTGTACAGAAAGGGCTGAAGGGCCGCCTTACCGCTAGCTACGTATCTACATCGTTATCCTTAGCATCCTATTTAGCTGTCAAAACTGTGAAGCGCGGCAATGGCTTTCCTCACCATCCTTGTCACATCTAGCACTCTGAATACTAGGATTAAATCCTGTTTAACTACAAATATGTAGCCTCTCTTTGTAGAGAAACGAACTGTCTTCGAAAAGGCGCGTCTTTTTCTGCATAAAACTCGTCAGCTGCAGTAAACACTGCTTGGTGACGGCACCTCGACGTTGAAGCTACAAACCTGCCAATCACTTTGGTCGTGTTCCGTCGGTAGTTCTTGCTCAAGAGCAGGCTTTGCAAAGACGAATGATGAAACAAGCAGGTGCTGTCCAGGTCCAGCGATTAAGTAACGAGCACCATAATAGATCGGAACGAAACATGATCTACCACGGTTCTTGTTTGGGCTTCTAACACATGGGCTTCGACTGGTTACGACGGCAACGTTGCTGAAGGGGTTAGCAAACTTCTGAAAAGAACCCGCCTGCAGAACGTTTGTTGTAGTATGTCTCATTATCCCTTCAGCGACTGATGGTGATGAAAATACGCCATGTAAGTTTCTTCTTTCATGGCGTAGCGAATCTGTGGGAGCTAACATCCCCAAAAGTTCTTCACGGTATATACAAGGAGGTCAAGAGAACTTGAATCGAATTCTCCACAAAAGATACTGATGCCACGATTTTGTAGCAAGATGCAAGGGAGAATGTCTCTCAACTCAGAACCCGTATGCTTCAAACTGCTTCTATTCGGAGTAGTCTTGACCTACGGCCTCGGTTTCTTCCACGAACTCATGGGAGTTTCCTTCCAGCCACCATAGCAAGTGTTCGAAAACATCAGGAGCACAAGCAATGCGCAAGCCTCCGTCGCAACAAAACCCAAACTCTTCTTCGGACTTGGCCAGCAACGCTCGAAAGACGCCATTTGAGAGGTACGATGTCGGGATGACAAACCTTCGCTGCACCTTTCCGACGTACACAGCGAGGCAGCCTGCAGGTACGTCAGGTGGAGGACTTGGACATTCCGCATCGCTGTCGTAGTTGCGAACATCAGTCCTACTTCCCCATGAGCGTCCTGAGTTGATACCGAGAGAAGAAGAATCAAACGAATTGGAGGTAGCGCTAGAGTGTCGGGACATGGATTTCTTGTGGCCTTGTGGGGAGATGTGGAGAACCTTTTTTAAAAACTTAGTAAGCTTCTTCGATGGAGCCATGGTCGCACTGGGGATCCTTATGAGCGAACGATCACTTACTCAAAGCACGGCGCCCCGAATTGATTGTGTGCAGTACGAGTTTGCGCTTACTTTTCGCAGCTACGTGCAATTACAAAATGGCAGGAGCTTGCTGGTCCGAAGGAACAGAACTGAGGCGCATGGGTATACCTACCCAACAAATCACGCAGCACTTCGGCTTCAGTGGCAACTGCAATTGTAGCACAGACAAAGAAATTTCTCAAAAAGTTAGCCAACCCTCGACCATAGAAGACGCAAATATCATGTATTCCTTCAATATATTGGTTGGCGATTCAAAATACTTAAGCTCAAGCTTCCGTCTGTAATGCGTTCAACTCCTTACATCGCTTCACAATCAGTGGCAATCAAGCGTTCGGTTCAACGGGGAAGGAAGAAAACAAAATGAATTTCAGATCCCGACGCGAAGGGAGAGAGGGAAAGCAGCAAGCGAGCACAATCACTCACAACTGATGACGAGCAATATCAGCTACTGGTGCCTACAAAAGCCGCTACAAGGTCATATAAGCACCCTTCCAAGGGGCACTACATAGTGAGCAGAATGGGGACCACAGCTAAAAGGAACTCAAGCACCTTGAAACTTCCTCTTGAACAAGTGTCACCCAAAATGGCTAGTGCGAAGAAATAAAACCAGCTCCTACCTACGATCATCACCCAATACGGAATTAGTGTGCTTTGGGTTCCTCATTAACGAGAGGACTGCTTTTCAACCTACATCTGTGTACCTACAACTCAATTATAACTCGAGGTTAAGATAAGACTAAGATTACCGCAGCTATCAACATATTCCCACAGCCCGACGCACTTTGGACAGTTCTTCGACTTTGACCTTTCAGTTACGCATATTCACACAGCCTGAGGACTTCAAACGATTCTTCAACCTCAACTCCCAGCTCCCAATATTTAACTTATCCTACAACAACCCCCACGGTCCCCTCTGGCCACAGCTGACGTGATCATCCTACTGGCACAAGTCCTGCAAGCAAGGAGCTCGCACTCCAAAACACGGCAGCACGGGAATGAACCTCTCAATCATCTATTCCTCCTGTCTGCGCACGCGATTCTACAACCGATAAAAAAAGTAAAAAACAAAACAAAAAAAACACAAAATTCGAGAACGCCCCAATCTCTAAACGCCCTGAAATTCCTCGAATCCTCCCACAACACAATTCTGTAAACTGCCGTCTGTCCGAAACGCAGAGCCGGATGATTGTAGAAGTTTACCAGAATGTGGAGCCTCTGGATGCGTTCAGATTGAAAATGTCCCGTGCTTGGCCAACCAAAATCCGGCAGGGAGGGGCAATGCTTCAAGACCAATGGCTTGTGTTCAACCTCTGACAACCCCAAATGTAGTAAAACGCAACAGTAACAATGGCAACCGCAGTGCTTCAATTGCGTTGCCGGGGGTGAAAGAGGAAGCTAGCAAGCGGCAACGGTGAAAGTTGAAAGTATTGCTGAATGAATTTGCGAAAACACCGAAAGGGAGAAGTATTTAAACATGAAAACACCGGGCTCCACGCATCTGTTCACTCTTCATGGATTCCATATCCATGTAAGCAACGCATAGATCCAAAGACCATCCACTGTAGAAGAGACAGCCTGGACCTGCGTTGTACTTTCACTTGTATTGGTAACAAGTCCAGCTCAAAATGGTTCTCCGAAAGTTGACACCGAACAATACATGGTACTGAAGGTGGGGTGGCTATGGAATGGAGCCTGAGCTTTGCCAGGTGTAATTCCATCGCCAGGGGGCTGCGTATATCTCTACCTCACGTTCAACCCACTTACCCTTCACAAAGGAATTAACAAACTCCGTCTACAACCTTCATCCTATTGAGAAAATCCTCTTCCACGAAAGCTTCCGCGAGGCCGTTCATCCATCTCCGCCTGCAAGCAAACGACGGGTTTTGAGTTTAATGTTAAATATCCCACTTTTATATTATATTGTATTTATTTATATTTACATCATAAAATAAATAATCAACAATTTTCTTTGTTGCCATTGAATCATTTAGACGGCTTGCTATGTACTTTGTTAGTTTGTTTTGATATATATATATATATAAGATTTTTAATTTTTCTTCTTCTTCTTCCCTTTTGTTTTTGTTTCTTTTTTTTTTGTTTCTTTTTTTTTTGATGGTATGGTATGGTAACAAGGTAAGAGAATCAACAGTATTACCTCTTCATGCCTTTAATTTAAACACATGAAATGGGTTATATCACATGGTAGCATTAATGTTTTTTTTACTGACAAAGATTTTACTTCTATTCATTGATATACAAATTACGCTACAAATAACTGCAAGTGTAAATGTTGGACAGATATTTTGGAAACGTGACATTATTTGTAAGAGCTCATTTGATAGTGTGGTATTATTTCAATAGTTTTTTACTCTTTTTCAGCATTTATGATACATATTTTTTTTCTACAATTATTTTGAATAGGAAAAAGGAAAGAAAAAAAGGTAAGATTAGATCTTATTCATGTTTCTTTTATGTTGTTATAAATTTAAATTCCTATTGCTTTGCATGAACTTCAGAAAAATCTTGAAATCTATAAAATTTGCAAGCTGTCTGAATTTGCTTGTATAAGGTATAACTTTTACTAGTATTATTGTTTTAATGTTTTAATTGGGTCAAAGGATGATCAAAGCAATTCCATATGTTATTTTCAAAGTAATAGAAAATTTGAAAAAAAAATTAGTTAGAATTTCGGTTTTATATTTATATTTTTATTTTAAAACAGTGCGATTAAAGTATTAAAATCATATAATTTTTTTCAGATTTATTAGAATTTTGGTTTAAATGAAATGTAATCTTGAAATCTGAAAACGAAATAATTTTGTTAAAACTTTAGAATATAAATTCTCATAAATAACAAGGGTTGTCAAATAATACATAAAATATGTAGTTATTTTAAAATAATTGCAATTATTTTGAAAGAGGCACATAAATACTTCTAGTAAAGTAAACGACCCACTAAAAACATTTAAAAATAAAGTAAAATGATGATATGGTGAGTCAATACCTACAATTCAAAAGATTCAACTCAAAAGATTTAAAAGTTGGCAACAAACTCTTTGCTTATCTTGCACGCTTTTTAGCTTATTAGTTGAACCAAAGTATGAGGTACTTTAGAAACAAAAGGTTTTCTATACTTTGCATGTCACTTTATCTTGTTCCTTGTGTTGGAGTTCATGGTTGTTCAACAATGTAAGAGAACATTGAGACGACAATAGAATCCCCTCTTCTATCATTTGGGTTCAATAATAGAGACTTGGTGCAAATATGGATTCTCCCTTCTTTTTTCTTACTTTCAAAAATAAAAAAACAATTCCTCTTGTTTGGACATAATGCCAGATATTTACTACTTGCTCAAAATTTTACATTGTTTCTTGCATGGACCTTGATATTGAAGAAGAAGAAACAACAAAAAAAATAAAATAGAAGAAAAGAAAAGAAAATAAAAGAAGAAAAAATCAATACACAATTTTTGTTCTTTTTCACTTTTATTTGAAAAGGTATTAGAAAAAGAAAAAGAAAAATAAAATCTTTTCAAATTATGGCATATTTACCAACAAGCAAAGCATGTAATGTTGACACAAATTCAATAAAAATCATTATGAAGGAAACATTCATGATAATACCTCATCAATGGTATTTGTGTTGCGTACAACTCATTGATTCTAAAAAAGCTATTTTACACGATTTTTATGTTTCAAATACTCTGGCAGGTTCAAATTTGTAATTTAATGTAATCTATGAACTTACTGAATAACCATAATTTGTACTTTCAAAATTTCTTACTAACAATGCTAAAATGATATATATATATATATATATTTAATATATATATATATATATTTAATATATACATATTTAATATATACATATATAAAACATTGTAAAACTATGATAATATGCTTTGGTCCATTTGCTCTTGCAAACACAAAATAGATGAAAAATCAAAACTAGTAACAAAGAAGAGTATCAAATCAATGTATAGGTGGTTACGTTGGAGATTTGGTATAATCACTCATTCCATTACAAAAATAAAATAAAAATTACCATTTATAAACAAATACTTAGATATGTGAACTTTAAAATATCTATAAATGTTTTTAAGACAATGCTGCTAAATCTCTATTGTCTGTTTTGAAAGAACACTATCATCATTCTAAGGATTGTAATCGATTTATGATTGTAAAGCAATTTTGATGATGTGCTCAACTTTGATACACATACCACTGAAATCCAAAATAATCAAACACATAGATGGTGAAATCAACTGAAAAATGATACAGAAAACCTCAGTATCTGACACATCTTAACCTGTGTAAAATATTGGAAGAGTTGGACCACTCCACTCAAGTCTTCACGAATCCTGTGGCATTTGATAGATGAAACAATTGACGCTTGGGGTTAAGGTACCAAGCAAGTAGACATCATCAGTTTGGTGTTTGTGGACATTTCTGTACATCACTAAGACTCAGACTCTTCCCAATCTTCCCATCTTCAATACACACAACCCTCCACATCCCAACTTAGACTTGGTAAGAAGCAACTAAAATAATGCAAGGTAAAATAAACAAAATACAAAAATAATGCAAGGTAAAATTTAAAAAAATACAAAAACACAGGGAAAAATGTGGAAGAAGATTCAAAAAAAGAAGAAGAAGAAGGAATGCAAATGGAAGACTGGAAAGCACAAAAGTCTATCGTCATGATTTGTTTTGATTAATCGAAGAAACAGATTTTAAACCACATCCTTTTACATGAATTCGTGAAGAAGCAGAAGCGGTGATGATAACAACGATAGATGATAAAAATAAAAATAATAATTGTATTATGATTATTATTATTATTATTATGCATCTCTTGTTGTAAGAGTTAAGAAAACATGAGGATTTTGCATACGATCGAGAACATGGGTTCTCTGGAACACTTTAACTGATTCAGATTTTTAGTTTCGAATCTTCCATTCCCGAAGCAATCCAGTGAATACGACGTTGTAATCGAACCAACCCGTAAATCTGGTTAGTCACGGCAAAGTCACGGCATAATCGCAATAGTCACGGCAAAGGTCGAAGCTGTGGGGTCGGGTTTGTCTTGTAAAACGGGATCGCTGAATCTAAACCTAACACATCCATGCTTTGTGGTTGTGAGCCATCGGTGCCCTTTTTAAGACGAGGATCAAAAAATCTCCCACTGAATCGAGTGCCACAACAAATCCAGCTCCCACTGCCTCATTGACTTGTTTGTATGCAGTATCGATATGACTCTCTCTCTCTCACTCACTCACTCACTGCCGCGCTCTTCTCTCTCTATTCTGATCTTTACGAGTTTTAGTAATGGTCCAGTCTTAGCCACACCTTAAGCACTAATGAGAGAGAGTACAGTCCACCGGCCTCCCATTCACTGCCTGCCACGAACCATTCCCTGCAAACAATCTCGTAGAAAATATCAGTGCTCTTTACGGCAACGTTAAGCATCAGGGAACAGTTTCTCCCACTCGTCTACTGCCCAGACTTTACACAAATTGGTGGGGGTATCAGAGTCAGGGTCCGGGTTTATGTCAGTCAGTACCCCTCTTTTTCTTTCATATTTTTACACTTTTCTGCTCTTCCTTTGGAACCTGAGATACGATCCACAATCAACACATTAATATGGTCCGTTCCAGTCACTCACTTCCAACTCACGCTGGGTTTCTTTCTCTCTTTGTCGTTTTGTATTATCCCACCCGCAGTACTCCGTAGCATCCCAGCCTTACCACACAAGTACGACCCGGTACACAAAGGGCTGTACTGCCGAGCGAGGGAGAGCGAGAGCCCTACAGAAAGCCGCCCAGATCTGCACTACAACTACAACGACGACACTGCCATGAAATAACTGCTTCTGCAAGCAATCAATCAAGCGAAAGCCGAGCAG